AAGTTTTTTTTTTTTTTTTTGGTTGGAATCTGGAGAGCGGAGGCCCCACATAAAAGAATTTGAATTCAAAATCAAACAAAGAAAAAAGAGCTATGTTGGTCTCATAAAACGAATATGCAGGTTCCTTTCAATCTATAGGACACAAGTTGGTGATCCCAGCAAGGTGAAGTCAGAGAAGAGGTTTTAGAAAGAAATGATTTGACTTATATCATACGAATGATTTTGTTTACTTAGAAAAACATGAATTGGAGAGGGGAACTTATTAGGAGACTATTATACCCAAAGAAAATACATTGGTTTGTAACAAATTGAGAACAGAGATGAGGAGAAGTAAATGTATTTGAGATATGTAGTCTGGAGATAGAATAGATCACCCTTTTGTTTGTCTGTATAAAGAAACTGCTTTAATTTTCTTAAAAAAAAAAAAAAAAGTCACACACATAAAAATGTAGTGAGCTCTTTTCTTCCATCTGACTTCAGTTCCTTGATTCTCCTAATATTATTTTTACTTGAGTTTATTATCTAAAATTAACTGGCTTAGTCCATGCTCCATCACTGAGGGAAGTTGACATGTAACCAATTGAGCTGGGACACATTAAGTTTCAGTTTCCTTTCTCAGAGTTTCTGAAGCCCAAAGTTGCTGAAGAATTTCCTGCTTTCATTCTGTGCCTGCCTTGCTATCAGACAGACCAACTTACTCTCAGCTCCAGTCTTTTACAGATTCTACAAACAGGTACATGACTTACTGCTTTCCACTGTCTCCTAACTACTTGAAAATAATAGTTTTGTTTTTTAAAAAGCACATTAGAAAGTATAGTTTATAATGGAAAACCGATTAATATTTTTTTCTTCTTAACTCTATTACTCATTTCATGTATGATGTGGAGTAAGTCAGAGGTGTAAGTACAAGCTTTGTGACAGCACATGTGATATGTTTTCAGTATTTAATGGAAAATATACTTTACTTTCTATTAGATTGGGAAGAATGGCAGTGACAACTCAGTTGACATGGATGCAAGAAAAGAGTCTGCAAAATTGTTTGGGAGGAAAGCAGTTCACTCTTCTCTATAAGGCTAGTGTCCATGGATTCTCTTCTGAAAATTTGCTGGAGAAATGTTCTAATCAAGGACCTACTGTAACAGTGATTTATGGTGAAGATTATGTTATTGGGGCATATATGCAAGGGAGCTACTACAGAGATAACAAAGCTTCTGTCACCTTTTTTGCATTTCAAAGGACTGAAATTTCAGAATTTGAAATAAGAATATTTAACACACGTACTGACAACAATAAAATCAAGGAAAGAAGATTTGGTAGTGGAGAAATATACTATGGCTACCATGATTTACAGATCAATCTAAATGACAGAAACGTAACTATGGACCGCACTACAAGTAAAAAATTTGCACTGCATAAATCTCATATTTCTTTTCAGGAATGTGAAGTTTTTCGATGTGAAGGTAGGTTTAATCAGATAATCCAGCATAGAATTTTCCTCTGAATATTTGGTAGGTTTGAGCTGATCTAGCTCTTTAAGAAAAAAATGTTTTAAAATATAACCTTTTCATTTTTCTTGACCTTTTCAGTTGTCCTTATCTGTAGATGGCTCAGATTGAAACTTGTCCATAAATCGTTTGCCAGGACATGGTGGAAGAAGTAGAATATACAGTTCCTGGGGTGTCTTTGTGTGTGGGAACATGGGGAGGGGTGAGAAAAAAGGTGGGAGGGAGTGAGACAAAAAGAGGAAAAGTGAGAGGAAGAGGGAAGACAAAAAACAAAGAGAGAAGAGTGTGTGAGTGTGTGAGTGACAGACAGGGAGAGAGAGAGAAAGGGAGAGACACAGACAGAAAGGTAAGGGAGAGACAGAGAGACATAGAAACAGGAGAGACTTTGACGTTTTGAAACTCTGAGACACTCTTGGAAAGAAACCAGACGTTGAACTTGTCTTGATTGTACTGAAGACCTTCTGCTCAGTTTCCCATTTTATCAAGACCACAATTAATTTACTTATTTTTCTATTAAAGCACATTTAGTAGAAAAAAGTTTTTTGCTGTTATAAACAATGACTCTCTAATATTTTTATGCTTATAATTTTGTACTCCAAATACTTTTTTAGAGTAACTTTATGGAAGTACAATTGCTATTTAAAGAGTATTTATGTTTGCATTTTGATAGATGTGTTACAAAGGTTTAGTTGTCCATACAATACCCACAATGTTACAGAAATTCCTATTTCCTTACACCTTTGCCAGTTTTTCATATCCTCAGACTTTAGCGTATTTTCCAACTCCGTGATCAAAAGACAGCTTCTCATTTTCCTTTTTGCTTATCTCTGATAAATCTATGTGTATTTGTCATTTGCACTTCATCTTCTATGAAATTCTTGTTTATATCTATCCATTAAAAACAATAGTCTTGAGATCAATATTCCCTGAGTATATGCATGTTCCAAATTATTTGTTTGTGGTCATTATGCTTGAATGAATATCCTAGCACATAGTCCTTGGATTGCCTGTTATTTCTTAGGATTTTTTAATGTTTCCACAGCATTGATATTGCTGTGGAAAGCCTAAAACTAGATTTAATTTTTATCTTTTTTTATTTTTTCCCTGCAAGTGATTTGATCTTACGTGACTACCGAACACATTTGTTTTTAAAATTTATTATTGACGTCTGGTAAATTTATGATGAAATGTTGTACTGTTGAAATTACTGATCAGCTTTCCCTGGGAAAGAGTGTCTTTCTTAATATGTAGATTTAATCATTTTTTATTTCAGGTATCTGCCTCTTTTTTTCCCCCCCATCTTTAAATACTTGTTTATTCAGTTGTGTATTTCATTGTTTGCTTATAGGAACTGATCATGTGTTTGTTAGATATTCATTATCTACCTTCCACAGCTCTCCTTCTTTTGGAAGTAAACTTTTTATCAAAGTATAACACATGAACAGAGAAGTATGCAACTGATATGTGTACTAATTTATAATTTTTATACATTGAACACAATCATGTGACCACAACTCAGATGAAAAAAATAAATTAGTACCATTGTCTCAGAAGACTTGTTTATGGCTCTTTCTAGGTTTTATCAATCAAAGGTAACTATTATTCTCTCTTGTTCACCATTAATTAATTTTATCATTTTTGAATTTAATATAAATGGAGCCATACAAAAATAAGTGCCTTTTTACATCTGATCCTTTTCATATAATGTTTTATTCATGAGATTGATATAATACACTGGATCCTATCTCTACAAATCAGAGATCTTACCTAGTATCAAACTTTACTAATAATTTCAAAGATAAAGGCAATAAGACTTTCAGAGAAAGCAGAAAGTTTGGGATACTCTATGTGACTCCCAAGATCACGCTTTCCCATATCGGATGTATGATTTCTGGTCTGGACCAATAGACAAAGATTTTTGGTAATGCTTGTTGGTCACTTTACATATTGGAGAGTAGTTAGGTTATAGACCATCTTTATTTTATACCCAACTTATATGAATTTTCAAGAAGCCATGCTACATAAATTCATATATCTGAATTTATTTACTATAAGAATTCTTAACCAAGGATATCCTGTTGAGAACATTCTAGAGATAAATAAGTTTCCTTGTAGCAAATATCATTACTCTGTTTATTAGGAGGTACAGTAATTAGCATATTTATAAAGTTAGATAAAGTCATTTCTGAAAGTGTCTGACAGTAAAATAAGTGAATGGATCACAGGACATCTGCTTCCTCCCTAGTGATTCATCTATATTATTGCATATGATACAATAAAAGCATATTCATTGTCATATAGTATTCCAATATGTGAATTTATCACACATTTGTTTATTCAGTCACTGTTAATGAATATTTGAGTTCTATAGTTTGGGATGATTACAAATAATGTTGCTTTAGATATTCTTATACATGTCTTTTGGTTCACATATGTATATATTTTGAAGATTAAAAATGATTTTTTTTTTTAAATAAAAATGAAATTGCTGGGTTGTAGGGTATGTGTATATTCATCTTCAGTGGATACTGACAAAATTTTCCACCATAGTTTTACCAGTTTTCCCTACCACAAGTAGTGTGTTTGAGTTTCCATCACTACAAATCTTCTCCAATACTTGGTATTGTTAGTTTTAAAGCATGCATCAGTTATGGTGTGTTCAATTGGCTTTTTTTTTTTAACTGGATTAGTTAATCATTTACTTATTTAACATTTAAAAATGATCAATTACTATTGTAATTTGAAATTTTTCAATTTTTAAAATTTATCTTTATAATTTTATTATTTGCTTTTGCTTATATCTTTATGTTTATTCCTTTATTTTCTTTTATTCTCAAAAGTTTCTTTTGAAATGTGCTCTCATTGAAAAATTGATATAAAGTGTTTACATTGTAGTTATTTTCTATATATTTGTATGGTCCTGGGAAGGAAGGTTGGAGAATCTACTTCCATAGTGATACTGCCTTCTCAGAAACCCAAGGAGGGATCGCTATGAGTTGGGGCCCACTGCACGGCACATAACAACCACAACATGGTTCACATGATTATTTTAGGAGCTCTGGTAGCATAGTGCCTAAGGCACTTGACTGCTAACCAGAAGCCTGGTGGTTCAAACCTACCAGTCACTCCTTGGAAGGAAGGTTTGGCAATCTACTTCCATAGTGATACCGCCTCAGAATCCCAAGGACAGGTTGCTGTGAGTCGGGTCCGACTTGACGGCACATAACAACAACAACGTGATTATTTTAGAAATTGTTTTCAAAATAGAAGAGATCGTTTTTTTATCATTATTATTATTATTGTAGTCATAGAACATGGTCTTCAGTATATATGCTTTTGATAATTTGATGAGGTTCTCTTTCTCACTGTATTTATGGCCACATTTATAAATGTTCCATAAAATATCCTTCTTTTGTATTGTACACCTAATCTTTACACTGTGTCTCTACCCCTAATTCTTTCAGTTTTTAGTCCAGCAGAACAGTGTTTCTCCCCGCCCCCCCTCCCCCAAAAAATAAAAAAACAAACTCACTGCGTCAAGTTGGATCTGACTCATAGCGACCCCTCCTTGGGTTTCCCAGGTGGTATCACTACATAAGTAGATTGCCCAATATTCCTTCTGAGGAATGGCTAGTGAGTTTGAACTGCCAGCCTTCTGGTTAGCAGTCAGATGCCTTAGGTACTATACCACCAGAGCTCCCTTTCTTTTCCCAAGAAACTAAAAAAACGAGAAAAATTCTGGGTGTGAGTCTCATTGGTTGAAATGAGGTACTCAGCCTGACCTTGAACACTCATATTCTGATTGTCAAGATCTGAGTCCTTCATAGACCTTCTTGGAACAAGGAATAACACCTGTTCAGCTGGAGGTTTCTTGAAGACAAATGATAGTAGATTTGGGAGAAAATCTAGTGCCTGTGTCTTTTTCTGAGTATTTCTTCTGCACGTTACTCCTCTCCAATTTATTGGATTATGGTGAAGAAGATATCATAGGGAAGCATTCCCAGTCTTTCTCTGGCCTAATTGTGCCTCAAGGCCTTGTCTTCAGACACAGAAAGTGCCTTCCACTCTGACTCTGCCCCCCAAAACTCTTGTTGTATTGAGCACACACTACTGGTGAATAAGTTGGTAAAAGAAGAGATGTGCTATTCCCTGAGTTTTTGCTGGAAGTTTTCTCCAACAAATAACCAGCACCATCATGATACCCCCTAACTACAAGAGGGGCAAGAATTCTATGTAGAGACACTCAGTCTTAGAGTGATTCGTCTTGCCTCTAGTACCAGCATGTCCAATTTACATGATGTTAAAGGGACTTGCCAGAATCTCCTCAATTTCTTTCCACTATGCTGCACTCTCTGGTAGCATAGTGGCTCAGGCACTTGACTGCTAACCAGAAGGTTGGCGGTTCAAACCCACCAGCCACTCCTTGGAAGAAAGATGGGGGGCAATCTACTTCCGTAATGATACGCCTCAGAAACCCAAGGAGGGGTCGCTATGAGTTGGGGCCGACTCGACGGCACATAACAACAACAACAACAACATGCTGCACTCTTATTATGGAAAGCCTATTTATGCATTTTTTCCTAGTGAATTCATTCACATTCTTTCAGTTAGCCAGTTATTCAGGAACTTCTAATTCTCATCATTCTTTGTTTATTTCCCTAGATTCACTGGACAAAAGAAGGATAGAAGATGTCACTCTGTAAGTCAACGTTTTTGACATTGTATTACTCTGTTTATTGTCTTAGTCTTATTTTATGATAGCTTAGGACCCTTGGTGATGTAGTGCCTAAGGCATTTGACTGCTAACCAGAAGGCTGGCGGTTGAAACCCACCAGCCACTCTTCAGAAGGAAGGTTGGGCAATCTACTTCTGCAATGATACTGCCTCAGAAATCCAAGGAGGGGTCGCTACGAGTTGGATCCAACTCTACCTCAGGGTTTTTTTTTTTTTTTTTTAATCAATAAAATTAATAGTACAATCAAGAACAAGCTATATCTATAATTTTACACACACACACACACACACACACATAATTATAAAACTATTTGATAATTATATACCCATTTTAATCCATGGTTTAAAAAAGAAAAGCAAGCTCACTGCCATCAAGTTGATTCCAACTCTTAGCCACCCCCATTAGGTTTCTAAGGTGGTAAATCTTTACATAAGTAGTTTGCCCCATGATCCTCATGTGGAGCAGCTGTTGGGTTTGAACCACCAAGCTCCTGGTTAGCAGTCAAATCCCTTAGGCACTTCACCACCAGAGCTCCTTATATATAAGGTTGACAGATGATATTTCTACATAACTATTTGTATGTGCTGTTGCACTATGCCACCAGAGCTCCTTATTTGTATGTGCTGTTAGAATGTCCAAATAAATAGAACTAACAGGGGGCTAAGTTTTGATCACTTCTTAGCCACAGCAAACCACCTTAAGGGAGCAAGTTGTTGGACTTTTGGGCTTAGGATGATCATCATGGGGGACATCAAGCTCAAGTGGCATAATATACTACACAAAAATACTGTTCTACATCCTAATTTGGTGAGTAGTGACTGGGGTCTTAAGAGCTTGCAAGCAACCTTGTCACACAAGGTCTCTACTTGTCTGGAGCAAAAAAGAACGAAGAAAGCCAAAGATGAAAGGAAACAATTAGTCCAAGGAACTAGTGGACCATGTAAACCTCAACGTACTTGACCCCGAGAAACCAGAACTAGATGTTTCCTGGCTCCCAGCAGCCTATATGACATGAGTCCAGAAGAACTAGATGGTGCCTTGGCTGCCCATGTCAACCACTCAGAAAGGGATCAGTCCAGGAGATCCTGGATAGAGGAGAAAAAAACATGAAACAAAACTCAAAATCATAAAAAAAAAGTGACCAAGCTTACTGGTCTGATAGAGCCTGTTGAAACCCCAACACTATGGCCCATACTTACCCTTTAGGCCTGGAATTGACTTCATTCCAGCAATCTCCAGCCAAATAATAGACAGGCATATAAGGTAGGTACACTGGGAAATAAGAGAGGCAGTGTTTGCATAGAGAGATAGCTCAGAGGGCAGGAATGAATAAGAAGGAAGGACACAGGAAAAAGGTAAACACAGGGAGATGGGAAGAGAGCTGTTATATTATGGGGAATACAGTCAATGTCATGAAACAAAAATGTGTATGAACTGTTGTATGAAAAATGAACTTGCTCTGTAAACTTTCATCCAAATCACAACAGAATAATAATTGAAAAAAAAAAAAACCTATCTGACAATTACAATGCTAAAACAAAAAGAATGCTAACAGGAAGACATTGCTAATATTTTTTTATGTATTGAAAGGAAAATAATTCTTTAGCTGTACACTTGTATTTTTGCTTAGAACTCTTGCAGTTCCAGTTTCAAGTAAGTTAGCAAATTTCTGTGCAAGAGGAGGTGTAACAAGTGGAAAATATCTTTTATGAATTTCTAAAACATGTTAGAAATGCTTTACTTTCAAGAACTGAAGAAATCACACATGATATTGTGGCTTTTGAAGTTCTTTATTGTTAATTAACATTCATGTTTTACATGATATTTATTCCCAGTTTTTATAGTCTAGTAGCTTAAGTCTGGAAGATTTGACGTAGGATTAGTTTTAGTTAAAATTGTTAGTTTTGGTTTACCTTCAATTTGAGGTAGAGTATGCTCAGAACTACCTTGTCTTTTTATACAAGAAGGTTAGATACTACCATTACTACTACTACCACTACTACTACTACTATAAAAAAAATAGAGTGAATTCCCGGAAAATTTATGGTAAAGTCTTTGTGACCAGCCTGAGTCTATTGTTAAAACTTGTGTTTAAACAGGCTCAGGAAGAGCTTATTTTCTGACATGAGAACTTACAACCCATGTGGAGGTCTGGTTCACCAAACACGGATTCTGCTCCTTGGTCCCAGTGGAGCTGGAAAGTCTAGTTTTATCAACTCAGTGAAGTCTGTTTTCCGAGGCCACGTAACTAACCAGGCTGTGGTTGACTTTGGTACAAAGCAGGTGAGTGAGTACATTCTGGGCCATCAAGCCTTTGCTCCTTTGCTCAAGTAATTAAAATTTGCAAAACTTTTCACTGATCAAATTCATTACATGTAGACTTCAAACCAATTTACAATTTTTAAAATGTACTCTCTCTCTCTTTTTTTTTTTTTTTCCTTATCTGTGATTTACAGAGCAAATTCACTTTCCATACAGCAGTTTACATATACTTTGTCTCATAACATTGACCACAGTTTACCACAATGCAACAGCTCCCCTCCCTCTTCCTCTGTATAGTTACCTCTTCCCTGTGTCCATCCCTCCATGCACTCCTGCCCCCTGAGCTGTCTCCCTGTGCATGAGCAGCCCTTCTTTCTCC